ATTGTCACCCTCCATTCCCGCCTGCCTGATACATCATTACACCCCTAGTAGCAGTGCGGCATAGGGATTGTCACCCTCCATTCCCGCCTGCCTGATACATCATTACACCCCTAGTAGCAGTGCGGCATAGGGATTGTCACCCTCCATTCCCGCCTGCCTGATACGCTGTTTCTGCCTACAGGTTTGAGACCTTTGAAATTAACAGCTTTGAGCAGTTCTGTATAAACTACGCCAACGAGAAGCTACAGCAGCAATTTAACATGGTGAGCATGTTCGTTTCCCAGCATCCTGGCTGTGCTTTTGAAACTTCCTGAAGCCTTCACTTCTTGTCTTCTGCAGTTAAATTACTGTTTGGTTACCAGGTCTAAAAGTCAGTTCTGAAATTACTTATGAATGAGTCATTTTGTTTCTACTTTCTCTATGTCAGTTTTTAGTTTGATTTCATTTCAAGTAAGGACATTTTAAATAAGGAATTTTGACAAAACATTTAATGCGTTTAACGCCCTTTGTAGAGATCATATCGTGCCTCACTACATACATGCCACCTTGTCATACAAAATGAGACGACGGCCCTCAGGTGCTGCCTTCACCTGCTTTCTGCAGCACGTCTTCAAACTGGAACAGGAGGAGTACATGAAGGAGCAGATTCCCTGGACCCTTATCGACTTCTACGATAATCAGCCATGCATCAACCTGATCGAGGCGAAGATGGGGGTCCTGGACCTTCTGGATGAAGAGTGCAAGGTTGAGAAGCATCCTTTGATGCGTCCAGCCCTTCCATCACCACCGTTAGCGGCGCAGTTCCCGATACCGGCCTTAATCCCAGCCCTGTAGCTTAGAGAAATTATTTCTGCCTCCTTCAGATGCCCAAAGGATCAGATGAGTCATGGGCCCAGAAGCTCTACAACACACACCTGAAGAAGTGCGCCCTGTTCGAGAAACCCCGTATGTCCAACAAGGCCTTCATCATCCAACACTTTGCCGACAAGGTGGGCCGTCCTTTTCTCCCTCCTTGGCCGGTAGCGTGACGCCCCATTTATACATAGGGAGGCTTGTGAACCTGCACGTCTGCCGTCTGGGCGCAGCGAGTGGCTGATTGAGTCCGATTTGCTCACGACGGTGAAATGCACGCTTCCTAGTCCCGTTTTAGCTCAGGTTTCGGGTTACAGGGACTTTCAGTCCTCAGGGAGCTGCCCAGGCATTCTCAGTATGGGCTGTGAGACGCAGCCCCAAAACCGTGAGTCACACAGGACTCGGACTGTAATCATGTGTCCTCTGTCTGGGCTTCCATATGAATTGGATGATTACTGTTGGCCAGTGGCGCACAGACAACTGGCACTACTGCTGCTTATAGCTTATATCTGTCCTGCACTGAACTTGCATTGGATGGTCATGCTGTACTTGTAGGACAGGGCAGGGCGGGGTGGGGTCATCCTGCATTTTCAGCTAAGACTTTTGCTAAGATGTAGATGAACTTAATGACGTCTCTCCTCAGGTGGAGTACCAGTGTGAAGGTTTCCTGGAGAAAAATAAAGACACCGTCAATGAAGAGCAGATACACGTGCTGAAGGCCAGCAAGGTCTGTTCTGTGTAGCAGGTCTCTCTCCCTCCCCCCTCCTCCTCCACTCCCTTCAGCCCCGTTGAGTCAGATTCTGCTTGCTTGCAAACAGTACGATTGAGAAATTCCTACACTGGGCTTTCTGCAGGGGGGTGGGGGTGAAATTCACTTTACTTAGTAATTCACAGTACAGAGTGTCTCTTAAGTAGGAATATGCCTGCCTCAGAAAACAAGTCTCAATTTGTTCTGATGCTTTATGACGCGTGACCTCAAAAAAATGGTTGCTGCACTGTAATGGTCAAAGGCAATGCCGCCATCTGTTGTTCATTCTGGGTATTATTTTTAAAACTGTATACAGTGGCTGTTTTTGAAAGGCATGAAATGCAGCAAAGAGTCATTATCTGTAATGTTCAGTGCAGTGTTTTTTTTATAGTGTGTGTTTTAATATAGATTTTTTTAATCCATTAGAGCAGTTTTGTGTGGGTATTGATGAGAGTAATGCTGTGAACAGTAAATATGGACCTTTCACCCATTAGCTATTGACAAACTGGTGCTCTTTTTCAAGTATAGAAGTCAGGTTGCAAAAAAGTCAATTTTTAATTGTAATTTTAAAATGAACCCATTAAGTGTTGCCTCGTTGTATATTGGAAAAAACATACACCTGAAAATGTCAGCCAAGGGTTTTATATTGGGTTAC